TTCATGGATTACCTGACCTCTGATCTATTTTCCCCCAACTTTTTTGGAAAATAGTATTCAGAAGGGAAAAAGAGAGCTTTTAGGTTTGGCAAATCAGTTAACGTCAAGGCTGCTGATACGGTATATAAGCTGAGCATTTTTGGTAGAGCCAGCAATCAAACAGATAATACAAACCTCTCCAGGAAACTATGTGTTTGGATTATATGCTTTTTGGATTATATATACACACTAAATATGCAAACAATGAGGTGTTATAGGAACAGGGACTTTTTGCTTTAAAGCTGATGGGCTTAGATCAGCATATTTATTTTTTAAAGACCCAGAAATCTGGAAGTATAATGCTAGCCTATAAAGTCTTACCCTCACTCGTATTTCATATATTATTGTATTTTTTTTAGATAATAACCCACATATATAAATTTTATTAGTCATTTATGAACCCCCCCAACATACTTTTGGAAACATTTTCCAGCTCAAACACCTTTTTAAAACCAAATGACATCATGTCTGTTGGGATATACTGTTCTATCCTGGAGATTGGGAACACTTCCCACCCCTCCATAAAGCAAAGGCCGCAAAGTTTATCATCATCCTCCCTAAAAGCAAGTACCTTGAAAATGTAAGCACAGCGAAACCCCAAAGCACAGCACTGAGGAAGTCAGCTAGGCTTACAAGCCTCTCCCTGGGGGAACTGTCTGTCCCACAGTCCTGGGAACTTCAGGGGCCCACGAAGGGTGAGCACAGGAAGGGACCCTTAGTTGCTTTGTGTCCCTGGGTGCTGAGAGAGGCTAACTGCATTCTTCTTGTCAGTGCCCTTTGCCCGCTCCATGTTCTGACCTGCAGGTAAAGGCAAAGTTGATACACTCGTTCATCCATTCAATCCATTCATTTATCAATTAAAAACTGAGTTACTGAATGCCAGTTATGTACCAGGCATAACTGAATGTCAATTACATTCCAGAGGTGCTGGGATGTAGTGGTGGACAAACCCAGTCCCTCCCCTAACGGAGTTTACGTTCTGGTGAGGAAGAGGAATGACCAATCAAGTCCCAGAGCGAGACGTGCTGTGGGGAAAAGAATCATGTTAGGCGGCTGGACAGTGTTTGGAAGAAAACCGTGTTACACAGGGTAAATAGGAAGATTTTCTATGACAGGTGACATTTATGCAGTGACATGAATGAGAGGACAAGACAAAGACACATTTAGAGGAAGAGCTTTCCAGGCAGAGGGAACACTAAGTGCAAAGGCCCTGAGGTTGACTGAGGCTTTTAATTGAGTCCAATGGCTCCTATACACTAACTGGATGCATCAGCTTCACCTAGAAAGCTTGAAAACAAATCACACTTCTGGGCTCCACAATCTCAGAGCTGGATTCAGGAACCAGAAGTGGGACCTAGGAACTGAGATTTTTTTTTAAAAAGATTCCTCCAAAGTTTTTGATGTCTTGCCCAGTTTAGGAAGCTGTCAACTAATCCAGTGACCTCATTTTACAGATGAAGACACTGAAGTCCAGAGAGGAGGAAAGATTTTGCCCCTGGTCACAGAATTAAACTGTGATGCAAGCAGGGCTGGAAACCATATTCCCACGCTCCCAACTGGTACTCTTCCCCATCACCCCGCCCTCTTATCCAGACCACTTCCTCCCCAGCTCCTTCCCATCTGCCCCAACAGAAGAGCCAACAGAAATGCATTTCCTCTAACAAGAGTTGCTGCTAATATTAATTATTACTAAGAACAATAGCTACCACTTTTCGAATATTTGCTTTATTTCAGGTACTGTTCTGAGCACTTTACATACATTAATTTACTTAATCTTCATGATAATCTTATGGGACTGATGTGTTTATTAGTCTCACTTTAGATGAAGAAACTGAGGGCGGAGAGGTTAAGTGACTTCCTGGAGGCCACACAGCTGGCAAACGGCTACCTGCCTGCAGAGTTGATGATCCTGGACTCACTGCCTTGTTGCTTCGCGCTGACCTGGGCAAGAGCTCGGGGCAGATGATTATTGCTCTTATTGATCTGCATCAACAGGAAACCTCAGTTGCCCTCCTGTGCCCATCCCAGTGACACCCGCCGTCCCGTTATGCAGGCAGCTGGGAGCACACCTGGAGCCGGTGGTTCACAGTTCAGGCTGTGCGGTACGTCCCTGTGGACGGCAACTGTGGTCTGAACATCATGAGTTACTTTCCAGAGACTCCCGGGGCTAAGGAGAAGGGTACTAGCTCAGGGGTAGAGTGCGTCCTTAGTGTGAACGAGGTCCTGGGTTCACTAAATACATAGCTGAATAAATGGTCGTTTGCTCCTTTATAAACAAAATGCACTTTATTCAAGGAGCTCCAAGATTTCAGCAACCACAGCCTCTCAGGTTGACAATACTGGATGCTTTGCCCCCACCTCTGCATAGCGACAGCTCCAGGACCAGAAGGTCTGGGGTTGGCATCTCCTTAATCCTCACTCCAGCCAGTAACAGCAGACTCTGTGCTGGCCCTCCAGCACACTCCTGCCTCAGAGCTTTGTACCTGCTGTTCCCTCCGCCTGGAACCGTCTACCTTGGATACTCGCATGACTCACATCCTTCCTTTATCCAAATGTCCCCTCCCAGACAGACCCTCTCTACCTCTCTTCCCTTTCTCTTTTACCTTGTTTTATTTCCTTCCATAGCACCTATCACTGCCTGTGAGTATGTGATTATTTATTGTCTAACTCGCCTACTAATATGTAAGTTCCATAAAGGCAGAGATTCCTGTCTGGATTTTTTTGCCCCAGAACCTCAAACAGCACCTAACACTTAATACATTTTGGTGAAAGAATGAATGTACAAGCTTGGCTCGGAGTTTTTGTTTTTTGGTCTTAAGGATTCCGTATCACCTCCAACCTTTGCTCCACTGCAGTGGGCGTGTATGAACCAGACGGAGGTGTGAGAGGCCGACCTAATATAATCACCTCCTACCTAAGAGCAGCTGTGCCCTACCTGGCCTGCTCGCCCCGGGCTGCCCCCGGTGAAACCTTGGCAGCTGCAGGGTAGGTTCTTGCCCTCCCAGGGCTGCCACACGGTGCTATCTGCCATCCCCACCCCGGGGTCCTTGTGTGACTTCCCGGAAGATGGACGCCCCATGGCCTTGCTTTGAATTCCTCTTCTTTGACTTAGAGGAGCTGAGGAGCCAAGCAACAAAGGCTGTTTAGAATCAAGTCTTCCCAATTGTTTGGCCTGGTAAATAGATAAACAAAAAAGGGGTGAAGAAAAGGGAGAAATGCAGAGGCTGGCCTGGGCACTCCAGCTGTGGGTCCCCATGGGCCTGGCAGACAGGAGCCCAATTACTGCAGGGCCAGTGTACCTGTGAGGAGTTAATGAGAGGCGTGGGGAGTAGCTGGTGAGGGGGGCCGCAGGGGCTCCGATTAGGACCCCAGAGAGGTGGCCCGTCCCCGCCCCCAACAGGCCTAATGACCGATTAATCCCAGCAGGTTACATCTGGGCACAGCGCTCCATCTCTTTCTCAGGAGGAAGAGGGAGTTATAGGTGGGCCTCCCACTTGGTTTCTTTAGGATTTTTAGATCCTGGAGCTGTTTCTGAATTTAATACTAAAAAGGGCATAAATTAACATTTGGGTGGGGTGGGGGGTTTTCAGTGGGCTGTCTACCGAAGGAGGTCAACAGGAACCTGCCAGAGAAACAGAGGCTGTCACAGAGCGCGAGTTCAATCCCCTCGCTTCTCAGAGGTGGAGCCTGAGACCCACGGCGGGCCTTTCAAGAGACCCTCAGGAGAGAGTGGCTTCTTGGGACAGGAAGAAACTGCTCGTCGGAGGGTCAGTGCAGGGGGTTCCGGGGCTGCGTGATGGTGAGAAGCCTCTGGAACAGAATTCCGGCTCTGCTGCTGCTGAAGCTTCCTGTCCTCCTGCTCCTTATCTGCGAAATGGGAGCAGTGCCAATGCCTGCTCCCAGGGCTGCTGTCAGGGCTAAACGCGCCCAGAGGAAAGCCTGGGCCAAGACAGCCTGAAGCAAGGGCTAGATTTTATAATTATTTTGGTCTGCTTTTCCAGGGCCCCTTCCGCTGTCCCTCCTCGAGGTGAGGGTCAGACTCAGACTGCAGATGTGGGTGGATGGTGTCTGATGTCATTCATTTCAGCTTCACAGTGTCTTTCTGGGTGCCTGCCACATGCTGGGCGCCAGCTGTGACAGGCAATATACACGTGCCAATGTGAGAAAGAGGCTCCCCTCCTGAAGGGCCACTGGAAAGAGCTGCCGTTGGGAGTCGGGAGACACGACTTCGAGAGGCGGGTCCTCCTCGTGCCACATGTCACCTCAGCCAGCTGCTTCATCTTCCTCGATCTCTGTGTTTCCCTCCCTCAGGACTCGAGCAAGGATCAAATGACCTAAGTGCACACAGAGGCTCTCTGACTGCAGGGGAAT